GTTGCCATCTGATTTATGTGCTGGGCTGTGGGATGGCTGGGAGTAAGGGGAAACCTTCCCGGGGGGCACGTGTGTAGAGACAGAAGGAACTGGGAGATGTCCTACAGCCAAGGAAAAAGGAATAGCAATTGTACCACTGGCTGCAGGTTGCTTATGATTCAAGAAATCGTGGTACTTTTCTCCAGTACTTGTGGATTATTTGTCCCCATTCCCTCAGTGCTGCTGTTTGCACACCTCCCTGACTTCCTCCACGGCAGAAATAACWAAGTTTCATCTCCTCTGCTGTGCAGTACAACTTCAGTTTTTCCTCTCTGTGTGTTGCAGTTATTTGGCATTTGAAATATCTGTGGCAACCAACAAAAATACAAATGTTTTTATGAAAGGGGATATCTAACACTGWGGAAAAATTCTGAAGGGATGAAGGAACATCCTATTTCTGTCTTCTGGCTCCTGTTTTGTGGCAGCCACTTTCCCATTGAGCTGCCTGGAGAGATTCCCAGCCAACTTTCTTTTCTGGCAGTAGCCTGGGTCTGAAACYGAGCTTTGAGCATGAAATATGTTTCTAACAGAAAACAACTAGAAGATGAAAAGAGGAGGAGAGAGACAATTGAGAGGGAGAAAGAGCAAATGCTGAGGGAGAAGGAGGAGCTGCTGGTGAGGCTACAAGAATATGAAGTGAAGACTCAGAAAGCAGAGAAAGGTAATGTACTTGTCCTGGCTGAGCAGACTGWGTGTTTTGTGCTCCATAGAGGGGTTGTATGGGTTCTTACCCGTGCCTTGCCTAAATCTGGTGACACTGGGATCGCTTGGCAAGCCTTACTAATGTCTGCTTATGCAGCTAAAGACACATGTGCATCCAAAGTATAAAAGCAGCATAAAATCTGCAGCTTTTATTTGGGAACCAAAGGGCAGGAACACTGTTTTCCCCTGTTGCCAGGAGGATTTAAGTAGCACAGCCTCTTCCAACAGTGAGCAAGGGTTCAGCCCTCAAGTACTTTTTACTTAACTTCTAACAGAAAAAGTACTTTGAGAACAAGCCTTTCCAGTGAAATCAAAGCTTCTGTTTCAATGCACAGAAGGCAGCAACATCTGGTCTGTGCAGCAAAGTCATGTCAGTGTTACAGACTTCAGTGCAAACATCTTGCAGAAGATTTAATTACAATGTGCATGTGAGTACTTCTGAATCCAGTTACTTGGTGTATTATGCAAATAATTACTTTGAGGTGCACAGTGAAAGGAGTATTGCAAGCTGGAGTAAAGTGCTGTCATGACTTGTGCAGTTACCTAGGAGACTGTAGCTCCTTAGCTTTGGCCAGACTTGTGGACTAACTACATTGATCTGCCCCTTTTCAGAGCTGTCAGATCAGATCCAAAGAGCCATTCAGCTGGAGGAGGAGAGGAAACGAGCCCAGGAGGAGGCAGAACGCCTGGAAGCTGACCGTTTGGCAGCTCTGCAGGCCAAGGAAGAGCTGGAGAAACAAACTATGGACCARATAAAGAGCCAGGAACAGCTGGTAAGACACAGTAATTTTGAGAACAAGATCTACAGGCATGTTAGTGTGTCCGTGAGTAAAGCAAAGCCCTCTTGTCCAGGGAAAAACCCAGTGCAGTGAAGTACTGGATGATGTCATGGCATCATTGTGATACTGGTTTCTATCATGAGATATCAAATTTTTAGTTCTTAGTTTCCTATTCAGTCTGTAATACAGTTAACAGTATTTTTGTTGTGTTTGGTTTTTTGGTTGGGTTGGGGTTTTTTAAGAGTCTTCGCAATTTCTATTTTATTATTCAACAGGCTACAGAGCTTGCAGAGTATACAGCCAAGATAGCACTTCTTGAAGAGGCAAGGAAGCGTAAAGAGAGTGAGGTTGAAGARTGGCAAATCAGAGTGAGTATCTGTTCTACAAGCTGCTCTGAAGTTCTGTGCTTAAGCAGAGCAYACTGTGGTGCTCAGCTGGTGTGACTTCTCAGACAGGGAGGCACACAGCTGTACAGCAGTGAAGAAGGGCAAACTTGTGATGAATGTGCAATACACCTGCAAAAACACCTTTCTTTCCACAAACCTTGTCAAAAGTCAAAATGAAAGCCTGTATAAAACCTAAAACTAAGATCATTGTCTTGGAGCCTTGGAGAGGAAGGGGCACATGAATAAAGGATGCACGTAATCCATGATATAAAGTCTGAAAACATTACATCAGTCAAGAGAAGGTGTTTCAAATGCAGCCACACTGCCGTTATCTGTTTTGAGGAGTGTTTGCTGTTATCAGTGGCTTCCTGGTACCTGGATCAGGAGATTTTGATCAAGTGATGCACTAAAATCAAAGACAAACCACCGAAAGCTTGGAGTGATGATGCTCCCTGTGCCCAACGAGTATTGTGGGATGCATGGGAGGGCAGAATCACTGCAGCAGCAGGGAAAGGTGACTGCCTGGTGTGAATTGCATTAAAAATGCCTACTTAGATTCCCAGGTTCTTACTCTGTGGAATACCTGTCTTCAGTCTACAGCTCTTTACATAAGAACAGGATGAAAGTAACTATCGTTTCCCACAGAACTGTTTTTACTGGACTGTTTTATTGGAAGAATATTTTTGTACCGACACCCTGCATATTACACAGTGGCTGCTGATGATAGCATCACTAGCAAAAAAAAAAAGAAAAAATACTGTAAAAGATATACTAGGTACCATCAGGTGTAGAGATTTTTTTTTCTCTTGCCTGTCACAGTAGATTGAAAAAAAAAAAAAAAAAAAAAAGGAAGATAAGCATTTAAGTGTTCATTAAGCTGATTTAAAGCAAGAAATTAATTTAAATTATTTTTCCCTTTTTTTTCCCAAAAGGCCAGGGAAGCACAGGAGGATCTAGTAAAGACCAAGGAGGAGTTACACCTGGTAATGACTGCTCCACCTCCACCCCCACCTCCTGTCTATGAGCCAGTGAATTACCACGTCCAYGACAACTTGCAAGATGAGGGCTCTGAGTACTCTGCCTACAGCGCCGAGTTCTCCAGCGAGGGCATCAGGAATGACCGCAACGAGGAGAAGCGCATCACTGAGGCAGAGAAGAACGCGCGTGTACAGAGCCAGCTGAGGGTAAGGCTCTGCACGCAGGAGGCAGAGGAATTGAAACAATATTCCTGCACAACAGGTCCCCTTTGGMTGCTTGGTTAAACACAAAAAGCATGATAGTTTCTCTTGGTTCACAGTTCCTATAGGAAGTTTGAAGTAAAGGCAAGGCGTATAAAGATTTCTCTCATTGCTCAAACTTTGAGATTGCTTAAATCATCCATAGTGTTTATGGAAAGCCTGAGTCATATCCATGTCACTGCTCTGTCCAGGCATAAACAACTGTTAGCTCTCCCCAAAGAGCTTCTCCCATATAACCTGTATTTAATGTTCTTCATACTGCAGGCACTGACAGACGAGCTGGCCCAGGCTCGAGTTGAAGACAAGAGGACCCAAAATGACATCATCCACTCGGAGAACATGCGCCAGGGACGGGACAAGTACAAGACACTGCGGCAGATCCGGCAAGGCAACACTAAGCAGAGAATTGATGAGTTTGAGGCAATGTAAAGATGCTTGTAAGAAGAAAGCAGGACTGTGGGAAAAGCAGATCTTAATGCTGTGTTCTTGTTTTTAGGGTTTTTGTTGTATTGGTTTTTTGGTTTGGTTTTTTTTTTTTTTTTTCCCTGAGGAGGGGTCACTGTATGACACTCAAATGTTCTCTAAACCCAGAGGTGTTTGAATCTCCCTTTTATTCTGAACCGTCTGTGAAATTTGGTATAGTTTAAAACTTAATGTACCACAGATCCTGGTGACTTGCTCATGCCTTTGCTTAGTGCCAAAAGGCCTTATGTCACATCTCTCTTTAGGCAAGACAGATTTTAACAGGCCACGTTTCTGTTTGAAGATGCGTGTCCTGTGTAGATGYTGGATTCAGCCTGGTCTAAAAGATAAACATCTGTGGGTGAATTTTGTGCCATATGTCTTTGTAGTACTAGCTACAATGTRAAGTGTAACAGAGAAGACATTTTGTGGAAGTCAGGATTTGCAGGCACCTGTGTGTTGTACATCCATGCACAGGTGCTTGTAGACCCTGTTTTTCCCTTGGTCTTGCTGCCCCTGTTCCCCCTCCCCCACCCTCAACCCCCCCACACACAAAAGAACTGACAACACCTCAGAACTACTTTGCATAGAAATTAGGTATTTTGTGGTTGCTGTTCTCAACTGGAGACATTGTGCAGTGATGGCACAGAAGTGGCGTAGGGACACTGATACCCTCTTCATGTAACAAAGTAGCAAGTACTCCTGGAATCTAATACACCACTGTGTTTACATTCCAGCTTCATTACTGATCAGTTATAGTGTAGTATTTATATATATATATATATATAACATGCAATATGTGAATTGCAATACTAGGTAAAGGGAAATAGTTTTGCTCTGTATATTTTGTTACTTTTCAGATTTAATAAGACTTGCATCTGTAAAAATGCCTAAACAAGACTGTAGTCTGATACAGTGCAGCTGATTATTTACTATAAAGCATTATTTGTAAAGATCATTTTTTTACTTAATGAAAACTGTTATATGTACACATGATCCAATATATACAATTTTACTGCACCTATTTTTCTAACAAATTTTCTAATTTTTTTTAATGTTTGATTTAAAGTTTCAGACTCCAAAGATGAAGGGACTGCTTGTTTGTATCACAGTTGTATTCTCTCTAGTAGAGAGCATTTCTGTGACCATCCTCCCCCCACTCTCCCCTTTTTTTCCTTGAAAATCTGTTAGAAAGTGAGATACAGTACGTTGTCACCTCTTCTCTTCCATTTACAATATCTATGCTGCATTATACTTGAGTTGAATCTTGTGTGGGGTTTTTTTATTTGCAGCAGCAACCATCTAAATAAAAGATCTGCAAAGTAACAAAGGCTATGGAGTGAAGTGTTTCTTGTGTGGGGTTGTGCTACTGCTCTTTAAGTTCYTCAGCTTAGCTTACAAGTCCCTGTGTCTTCAGATCTCAAAGCCTTAAAAGCCACACTACCCTAGAAAGGAAGAAGGGGCCATACCTGCAGTAAGGACTAAAAGTGTAACACAGCAGCACTCATTACAGTTGTACACAAGTTTCTGCTGCTGCCTCTAACACTACAGCCAAGGCAAGGCAAACTGACACAGGAATTCAGCCCTAAGCTTGTCCACATGAAGAAATTATAGACTTAGTAACACTCTTGTCATGTGCTGCACACCCTCTGGATCAGAGTTGCTAATTCTGTTTTACAGTGGTAGYTGATAAGAAGGAACTTGTTACACCCACTCTTATTCTATTGGCTGTAGTCCCACACTGCTACTGACAGAATTTATACATTTAACTTTTTAAGCACCATGCCATAGCACACATTTGAGAGATGTGGCCATGGGCCAAAGCTTTTTCGGGTCACATGAAATTAGTGGCAGTGTAGATAATGCTGAAGCACAGAAGCATTAGCATCACCCATTTGCAGCAAGCAAAGATAAGCTGKTTTTGAATTCTGTAGATACAACATCAGAGTAAGCCAATGTAACCTTCTTGCTGTAAAAGTTATTTTCTCTGAAGTAGTCCTAGTTGTGTTTTAAATTAAATTACAATGGTTCTGCTAGGCCTTGAAAGGGAAAACTGCATATTGTCTGGCTAGTGTTGCTTTGTCAGCATAATGCACCTCTAACTGAGGCTATCACTTCGGAAGAAACAATATGATCCTTACACTCCAGCTAGAGATACAGGTTAAAGCCTTAACTTTTGAAGAAATAAAACATTGAGAACGTCACGCCCATTCAAATACATAATTCTGTTCCCCAAAAACTTGAATAGATGCTGTTGCAGTGTACCTTTCCTCAAATCTCAAGTGTATGTACCACTTCAGTTTAAAACACCAGACACAGGAAAGGAAAAGTTGCTGTGTGATAATCTCTCATGATTTGAAGTTTTCCTTATTTGAATGCAGTACAAGTGTGAAGTCCATCCATGTGTTTGGGTTGCGGAGCASTTCCTGCCAATGGTGCACTGCCTGAGAGGCAAAGTCTGTGGAGCCAAAGGACTCCTCTGCAAGAAAGAAAAGGGAAAGATCACAGAGTTACTTCTCCCTTGGCTCTACCCAACTTCTGGCCAACCCTTTTACCCACTTCTACAGTAATTTCAGGTGTTCTGTAGCTCCTAAGGCTACAGAATCACAATAAACTGTATTTATACTTTAGAACTATCATTTAGTTGGATTCTAAAGTATCCAACCTGCAGCAAAAGTTTTTGGTTTTATGATTAAAAGCAGAAAAGCAAGTGTAAAAGCTTATAATAGCAGAATGGCACTAACTCTCTGTCTTCAGTTTGTCTCCAGTGACTTTGGTGCATTTCAGGCTTAGGGCTTGGATCATTCACAAGCAGATAGTCCCTGCTCTAGCAGAAAGGCAAATGCTGGCTAGGATAAGCAAAAAAAGTTCATGAGAAAGCCTGCATAACATTGAATTCCCACTGGTGATAATACTGGTGTAAAGTGCATGCTGATAGCAAAACAACATGCCTGTGCCTCAAGCTTTTTGACACTTTCCTCTCAAATACTGAAACCCACAGCATCTAACTTGCTGAGAACAAGGGTGGGAGACTCCCTTGGGCAGCCTTCAAGGGGCAATACTTCCCTGCTCAACTACCAGTGAAACAGGGCCTATTCAGCAAGCAAAGGGATTCTGCTCAACCTTGAGAAAGAAGCTCACTCTTACATTAGAGCAGAGCCCAAAACTCAAACATGCAACAGCCCCTTTGGAGCAAGTTTCACCTCCTGTATTTCAYTGATTGGATTGATTTGTGGATGTAAAATAATAAGCACAGACATTAGCAAGGTTGGAGTATACTAGATGATTAGTTCTCCTGCTTCCTTTTGATGAAAAGTTATTTTAAATCAGCCAATTAATAAAAAAAGAAAGTAAATAGTCTTATAAATTGTAGAGCTCTACATGAGTTAGAGGCACACCATTTCTATGCTTGTCTTAGCAGGGCTCTGACCCTAAAACTCACCATCCTAACAAATGGCTTTCTTGAAAATTTCCACTGACAACCCTGAGCTTGTGCACAGACCTAACTGAAGCACATGCAWCAGTTCTTGCAGGATCAGAGCCCAAGACTGCAAGTTGCTTAGGACAGAGGCCAGGACTGTATGTGTAGGCACATGATAACAAGTAATAAATAACACAGTGTAATTATTATTGTTTAGGATGTAAACTAAATTAACTTTTTCCCCAATTACCTTCAACTTTCAGTGATAAAGAACTTGCACCAAGCTTGGCTCCTCCTAGGAATTGATCACTCGAGCTGAAAGTTGACTTSTGCCAGACTGTCAAGTGTAGACATGACTGCCGTAGCTGAGCTGGGGTCACAGCATCAAAGACAAACAAATGTTTCCACTGTGGACAGGCTTCCTTCTTCAGGACAGGGGACTTTTGCTTTACCTCTGCTTGATCTGGAAGGATAAGACAACTTCCCCCAAAAATAACAACTTCAGCAAGGTTACTGACTTCTCAACCAGAAAATGGAACATTTTCAATAACCATCTAGGGCCCTTTGGTTTGTCTTAAATAGCAAAATAGTTCCACCTTAGTGCAAGGTAGAACATGGTCCTTGTGTTTATTTTGGGACTTGCACCTTTTCCTGCCTGCCTTTGGTGCAGATATAAGTAGGCTCTTGTAGTCTGCTTTGGCTCTGCTGTCACTGACTGTTGAAGGAGTTTTTGCTCCACATGTTTCTACCCAATACAGCCTGAAACCTGCCTTTTAGAAGATAAAAAATTCACCCATTTCACCAAAGGTGGGTGCCACAACMGGTGGCATGGCTTTATGAGATCTAAGTTTAGCCCAGTCTTATACTTCAGTGGCTTTTAATGTCTGACAGCAAGAAAGTAAAATAATCCCACATACAAGCTACTCAGCACACTGAAGAAAAAAATCAGTCCCTTCTCTTTAAAAATGTCTAGAATTAAGAGAATAAAAGTTTTCAATGTATCTAGAGCTATACTTAATTCTGCACAGCCACAACAAACTGTGACAACATCCTCTCTATTCGCACCATTTTTTCCCCACCCCTTATATCTAAAAGCACATACTTAAACCAGTGGACTCTAATGACATAGTTGAATTCTAAAGTTCAGGACCAAAAGGGCAASTGGGATCTGTCACCACCCTGCAAACTGCTGCAATTCTGCAGACACCCAAGTGTCACCATTACTAGGAAGTCTGACTAAGAGTGTGGGCAATGCCACTTTCCCATGGCAGTCTCTTGCTGAAAACATGTTAACATGAACATTTGCACAGAACATGTGTGACATTTTCTTTGTGAAGTGYTAGGTCTCAGACATACCCTTTAACAAAGGAGTTCAGCATTGCAGCGGATTTCAGCACAGGCAAGTTCTTGGCTCCAATTATCATAACCTGAAGCTGGCAGTTGAGAACTCCTTGGTCTTTGTTTCCTGAAAAAGGAGCACTTATTACATGAAATGCCCAGTTAATTCAGCTCTTTGCTTAAAATGCAGCTAAAAGTAGGTAGGGAATGTCTAAGTGGTAGGGAATGTCTAAGTGGCACTACTGAGATAAGGAGTCATAAGGCTGGACTAGGAACATTTGAAAGATTGGAACGTTTGTACATTGAATGATTCACACACAAAGGAAACCAAGCAGTGAGTTGCAGGCTGCTTTGTGATTTCTGTTCCAAAGACAAAGCTTTCTGTTGTGTTTGTGAAAAGTAAACACAGGGCAGCACACACAGAAGCATTTCTCTGAAACTGTCAGAGGCAGGAGAGAGAGCCAAACCCATGGTGTGATATTGCTCCTCTCACAGCTCGAGGCACAGAGGAGAGACCCAATACACAGGCGTGCATAGGGAGGAAAAACTGAAGATACTGAGCTGGTAACTTTGGGGTCATTTGGAAAAGAAACGGGAACAAAAATGACAAAACAGTCAATTAGAGTTTCCGGTTGTTCTCTACCTGTTGCTGTGGTCCTGAYACAGAGAGCACTACTAGAGATCTGAACCTCTGTACACCTCACTAAGGTCTGGGGAGGTAAGGAAAATGAGGTTTTCCTATCCCTCCTTCCCAAAGTATTTCTTTCACYCCCCAGCAGGTGCTTGCTCTGACACACTACAGCAGTACTTAATGTACCTTACAAATTTTCATTACTGGAAACTGAATCCTGACTATACATTTTGAACCTAACACCTCTCAAGTGAAACAATCGCCCTAAGATGACTCCACTGAAGGAAGCCAAGGGTGCTGTTCTGGTACCCTTGCAGATATTTCTCTTCCACTTTTTCCCTAAATTGGCAGACTTTGCCTTGGACAGCAGAACCTCCAGAATAACCTCCACTGGTAACATCATGACAGACACAAGTTTGCAAAACAGGCAGATGTATCATAATGATGCTGCCATTACAATGTACAATTTTTGTTGGCATTAAAAAGAACAAATGCACAAAGTTTAAAAATGTTTCAATTTTAACTAATCTAAGATATAATACACTACAAAGCACCATTTGCTGWAGTTGTTAAAACCCCATACAGGAATATTACATGGACACTTTGCAGCCTTTCATTGATCCAATTCTTTTCTAGTCAAGGAATTCAGAGAATCATAGAATGATTTATTTTGGAAAAGACCTGTAAGATCATTGAGAGCAACTCTTAAGCACTCATGCATGCCAAAACATTTTATACCTTCAAACTGGAGATTTTGATACTGGGCTGGTACTGACAGCCTTGCAGACACGAGGAGTTCACTGCTGTACTGGATAAGATCATCTTCAGGCTTCTCAAGCTGAAGAAAGGGACATAGAGGAGTCTGCATTACTGCAATCATTCTCTTCCTCATCCTATTCCACAAATACYGCTTATTTGTATTTGCAACACATCTTGCCAATGGGCTGTATTGACAGCACTTTCCCCTCAATGATCTCATAGGRGTGGTATTTCACACAGCTTTCACAACAGTTTGCTCTTAAGGTACAATCAAGCACAAAAAGATAGGAGTCACCTTGGGTTTGAGCGGGTAACAGTCAAACAACTGCATTGACTCTTCTTCAAAATTCCATGCTGCCAGGGGAATCACCACTTCGCCCAAAAACACCCTGTATTTGAGAGCTCCTGCATGCCACACAGAGATCTGAAGCTGCCGACTGCTCAGCTKGGAGTATTCAATCTTGTACTAGAAAGATAAACAGCATTTACTGAGCAATGCACAGGATGAATGCAGGCCCAGGCTTGTGACCTGCTYGCAGGAAGCCCAGCCACAGCATGACTGAAGGCACCTGGATGCAGACAGAACCATGTTGGCTGAGTGAGCTTTGCAGCCTGAAAAAAAACCCCCAACTACTTAGATGCTGAATAGTGCTCATTCAAATGGGAAACAACATTCCAGAATACCTTGAACTGCCTTGCTAAAGTTTTTTTTATTATTAAACTTTAAATGACCCTTGAACCTTTTTTGCTGGGTTTCTTTGGTGCATTTCTGTTTGCATTCCCAGCAGGATTTGGCTGCTCTGGAAGCCAGTTCAAGATGAAGATACCTAATGATGGTCCTTAAACTCCTATTCTGGTCAGTGGACATCTACTTGATGCAGTCAGCAGGGGCAAGGCAGTAGTTCAGCTGATCACTAATTAAAGCCTTGATCCACTCTCCAAACATAGTTAGAGCCCTTTGAGACATAGCTGGGTATCTAATATACCCACTGAGACTGTCAAACCCAGCCCACAGTGATCTGCATGGAAAGCTGGAGGCAATGGCACAGGCAAGGAAATCAGGACCCATATTTAGGCTGCTGAATCACAAGCTGGGTGTGGGCCCTGTGGCAGATCACCCTGAGTCACCCCGRGCTCCAGTGACTCCCAAGAGCACTTGCACAGCTCTCACACACTCAGCTATTTCTAAATGCAGGCGCCTTAACTTGGAGCTGAATCCCACCCAGTTGGATCTTGGTGTCATGATGGATTACCTGTAGTAGTGCTGTGCACTTTTGACCGTTTTTGCTACTATGGATAAACTAATAATYAAACTATTTTTAAATATTTCTAAGTAAACGCCCTTAGAGTTTATGCAGCCAGCTCAGGCATGGCTTTCACTCTCCTTTTATCACTTCTGCATGACTGGCATTGAAAAAGGACTATAAAATTAGGACCAATTACTTCAGCCTCGGGCTCATTTTTTCTCCCAACTTAAACCCTATACACAAGTTTTGGGCTGTATGAGAATCACATACATTACAAAAACCCTTTTGTGTTATTATCAAATTTTAACTATGGTCTTTACAAACATTTTGCTTGCTTCATTCACTACTGATTCTTTGTCTTCATACACACCAAGAATTGGGGGTAACACTGAAACTTTTGTGTAGTTCAAGAAGCAACASTACAAGTTTGCCCCTCCACTAACTTAGTTTCATATCTCTTCCAAGACAATGTATTAGTGAAGAACTCATGATCTTATGTTCCACTGCAGCCTGCTGAAGCACACAAAAAAAATTTGGCTTGCAGTGATCTGAGTACAAAAATGGAGCTGGGAACAGCCAAACTAGTGCAGGCTCTCCCAGCTGATAGTTGTCAACTTCATATTTCATTAAGTGTCTGTAAAGTAAAAATAATGGCTCCTGTTTCCGATACACAATTCTAACAAGGATGCAAGAAGCAATATTGAAAGGCATTAAAGAGTTGAAATCATAACTACTCTTCTCTGGCAGGTCTTGGACAAAGGCTGTTAGAAAAGTCAGTTTGCAATTTACTGTTGCAGCTCCAAAAGCAACTCTCTCTTATTTAGACTGAAAAACATAATTTTTAAAATTGAAGAGGTCAGTGACTCCTAAATTTGGCCCATCAGGTCAATTCAGAACTAGCAAGATTGTACCATGGAAAAGCACACTCAGCAGCATGGAATTGCACAACATACCTTCAAAGTCTCATCGAACTCAGGATCCACTGTGCTCCTTTTCACAGCTGTCTTCCGCTTACTCTGAGGAGATTTATCAGGAAGCAAATAAACCTTAACATACCTTGGAGATAAAGATACATGGAAATGATCAGAAGKGGCAGGAAAGATCAAATGAAGAAAACATTTAGATGAGAGGAGATTTTTCTTAATTCAGATGAGAGGAGACTTTTCTTAATTCTTTAACAACCTTATTGASTTTGGAAGTTTCAAGCAATAAAATAGCAACATGTGCTTTATGTATTTTCTCAATAAAAGCAGATAGATATAAAGATCCCTGGGCAACATTGAACCAATGTGTTTCAAATTCATTGTACTTGGGAAACGATGAGATCTGAATAGGAATCCTCTGTTGTCATACTCTTAGCCTCTGATAAAACAGCCCCTACAACCTTGTCAGTTGTAGTGACAGCTTTGTGGTGAAAACAAACAGCATATCACCTGCTCAAAGGGAAAAAAAAATAAACTCAATCAACTTTAGGATCACTGCTGCTTGCTCACAAAGAAAATCTCATCTTCACAACATCAGTTACCATGTAGCAAAAAAAAAGCATTATCATACAAATAACACAGAATAACACATCAGTCTTAAAATTGCTAATTGCTCTAATAGCCACTACAATAAAAACAGAAGGGCTCAAAATTGACGTAACATTGATTCAAGGAAAGCCAAAAAAATTTCTGGAAGCTGAGTTGGACCAATRTCAAGCCCCAATGACTCATACCCAAAGTTTGTCAAGTGTGGGTCAAGTGAACACTAAAATATTCCCCTTAATGTCAGTTCAGTGGCCTGTACTTGTTTTATGGCTTCAAAACTAAAGAGTTTCAGCAATAGAGAGTGCTCCCAGCTTGTGAGGGAAAGGAGTGATTGTTTATATAATACAGAACATTTTTAAACTGTACTTATAYGTATTTCAGGTATTATGATTTAAATTAATTTTAAAACAGCCTCTTGATTAACTTAATGGGCAAATAAAATCAGCTGTATCTCACATCATCAGTGCAGAACTTGTAGATATTCCCTCTTTTTTCCAAACTTATCCATAGGTAAAACTACTTTTTAAAATAAACAGGCACTAGAAGATTTTGTTTCCTGTTCTATGAGCCCAGATCATTTAATTAAAACATAGCTAGTCAGACTCCAAACCAGCAAATAGGCTAAATAATTAATCAGATTTTAAACATCAGTTAAAAGTCTGCTTTTCAGCAAGCATGTCAAATAAGTGTRCTGTACTTTTTCRGTTGGCTCAGAAATCAACAGAAATRTATAAATATATACCCATAGGGAACATCATGTTCACTACACAGCACTTCCCACATTGCCTTTCAGGTTTCCTGCAACTGTTTGCCTGGCTTAATTACCAGGGAACTTAGAGAACCTTGACCCACTTCTGCAGGGCTCCCAAACGGCCCTTTTCCACAGGCTGCTCTYCCAGCAAGGCACTGCTCATCACCAAGCTTGTCTTTATGAATATTCTCTGCAGGAGGCACAAAATCCATCGTCCTTCATGACTGCAAGTCCACAATTCCAATGGAGGCACTCAAATGCTCAAACACAGTGAGAAAGCAGGGTCAAGAATGGGTAATTAGGAGTTCTACCTGTTGATTTTCTATCAATGGTTACTGCATGGTCAGAGAGGACTTCAGTGATAAACAGAGAAATCACCAAGGCTTAATTATCCAACAAAATTTTCTATGGTATGTTTTATCCACAGAAGTAGATATTTCTTCCTCTTACAGGGATACAWAATTATTAAACAGCTTTAGATTTTAAATATGTTGCAGTATCTGAAATTTCTACTTTTATCACAGAAAAGGGAAGCTCACTAAGTAGTATAGCAATCACCCAGTGACCCCAGAGGGTCAGCAGATAAATTAGAAAYAGGACATCTCAGGTTTCAGCCACAACTTGACAACTAAAATCTGAATAACTATTCTTGAGAACCAGAAGTACTCACCAGAAACACAGGTACCCAACTGCCTGCTCACAGGCTGGGAAAGATTCCTAGCAGAAAATGGCCGGAATGGAATAAGTATTAGTATGAAACCTATTTTTCTTTCAGAATGTATATGTGCAAAGGGCTGGTATGTATGTTGGATGTTCTGAAAGTGTGAATATGGCACACAATCACATATTGATAGTTTCCATCAGAACACATATAAGTATCTTAAAAACCAAAATATTGCTACAGAAATACTTACGGGTTACACTTTCTCTTCTTCTCCTCTCCATAGGCCAGGTTCTTGCATCCCTTGATGCAAACTTCCAAGATGCAAGATCTGAAGTTGTACTTTAAGGCAAACTCTATTTCTCCCGTGATGTTAGCCTTGCCAAAATTGCCAGACTCAGTGCAAGTGCTGCTAAGACTAAACAAACTTCCCTAAGAAAAGACAAATGTCTCATAAATGCAGATTCAAATCAAACAGCACAAAACATTCATTTCTCTCAAYAATCAGTATCTTTATCAACATGCCAGTAAAGCTACTGCAAATCACAAAATTCAAGGTAACCTGTAAAAAACATTCCATTGCTTCCATAACAGCCCTGAAAATTATAACTGTAATTGCAATTCTACTGCTTTGCCCTCTTCTCTTCTGTCTAAGCTGAGAAAATTCTTTCTTAAGTAACTTCTAGATCTAGAAATTTTCTTCCTATAAAACTACTATGTCACCTCCTATGAGAAAAATGGGGTAAGTGTCTGAAAGGGAATGGAAAAACCCCTCTGAAATTAAAAAACAAAAAAACATTGAATTAGATTGCTTTTAATACATAGCTCATATTAGGGTACATTACCAAGATTTTCGGTTCTATCGTGTATTAGAGGAAATACCAAAGTGGCCTGCACATCCAGTAAATACTTTACAAGATGCCCCAATTCTGTACAAAAATGATTTAATCTGTATTGCAGACCATTCAGGAAAGATTAAAATAGGAAGACTTCCAGTTGTTGTATGAGGGTGCATAAAGATGATGTTTCCTAGTTCATCTTGACCACTTTGTTCTCCCTTCATCTACTTTCACCTTTGGGGTAAAGGTTTGGATGCTGTCCATCCACGGATACAAACAACACTTGTGTCCAGCATTTATGGAARCCAGGACACTGCAAAGAAGCAAGAGACTAATCCTTTGTGTGGCCAAGCCCCRACACAGGACTCTATGGTGATATCTTGCCTTCACTGCAACAAATTACCAACTCAGAACAGTTTGGTCTCCATTCATTTATAATGATATTCTTTAAGGTGAGCCCTAGAAACTTTTTACTCAGCATTTGTCACGAGGGCACCACTGTTGTGATCAGTTTCTCAGCAACTGCCCCAGATTGCTAARATATCTGTGTTAGATTACTCCTCCCCCTGAAAGTAAACACCAACCCACACAGGACTGGTTGACCAAGGAGTTCTGCATTGCACAACCCAGCAGTTAGGAGTGCAAAGTAGTGTTTGAAAGATCATATCTCTCTTCTATGGAGATGCTTTTCTTCATTTGTACAACACGCCAAATATTAATTCACACCAACAGATTTATTAAAGAGGCTATCTACTCTCTTTTAAGCTCTAAGCAACACACATGCATCAAAAGAAAGGCTAGAGTGCTTACTGAGGAAGTTGAAAGAAGTGTAGGGACTGTTTTGACCTAATGCTTGTTGAATATAATCTTGCTCCCTCCACAAGAAGTGTATCAGTGTAATAAATCTACCTTGAAGCTTTGTTCAGCTCTGCTCTTTCAWTCACTGACATATTTTTATTCATCAGACCAGAAAATGGTTATTTTCCACTGAAATCCTTTATGGCAATAGAATGCTAACACAGTTTTGTCCTAAGCTCATATGTCCTAAAAAAAAAGTTCTGCAAAAGTCCCTGATATTAATTCCACAGAACCGTCTATTTATTTAGGAAGGTTGGACAGGTGTTATGATTAATGATGTTTGGACTGAATATCTCCACATWTGTCTCACACCTGATTAGGCATTACGTACATTCTTTGTGGAAGTCACCATCCCTTTAGTTCAATGAGCAGGGATTTTACAATGACTTAACATATTGTACTTCTGCTGGTATGACTGGAAGCAATGCCATCAGATGTTTTGGAAAATACATTTTTATGGAGTGGCCTTYAACATCCAGCAATTACCCATAAAGGGAAGTTTAATGGAATTTGACCTTTATAAGGCAGTAGAAAATATTTCAGTTTTAAGCCTGAGCTGCCTATAGCCCAGCTCAAATGGTTGTCATTGGAATCACAAATGTAATACAAAATTGTTGCCCATTTGTCAGCTTAACACCTCAGACTCCACAGYGCAGTAAACTGTGAGAGGGCACCAAGGTCCCTGTGTGTATTTCTGCTTCTCTGTAAAGTGAGCAGCCTGGCTTAATTTTGATTCCCTAAGTCACTTTAGTTCCCTTCTGTACAAGATCAGTCGCGAATTCTTTGGATATTTCACCTTGCTTAACCTCATCACTCACAGATAGAAATTAGCTTCCACAGTTAATCATAGAGGCTTTAAGGCATGTTCTGAATTCATTTATAACCAGCTTTCTTCTCTCTCATTTGCAGTATTCAAAGTGCCATCCAAGAGAGGATGATTCAATGTCATTCCCTAAGCCTATGATCCGCTCCCCTGGCTTCCATCACTGTCCATTTCCTCTTCATTCACTGACATTCTGACACTTGAATTTCCAATGACATTTTCAACACAACAGTTTTTGCAGATGACAAAAACCCTTCTTTTAAATGATGCTTGAAGAGAAAAAGCCAGCTACTAGGCRAGAAAGTACCACACTCATAATCCCAGCTCCAATAATCAAATGGGAAGGATGTTAGTTTCATTTGAAAAATTCAGAAGAAGCTGCTCTATCAATAATTCATTATAAGAGGCTATATCCATCAATTATCCATTATTAATCTGATTTGCCTTATGCTTCAAAAAGTTCACAGTGTTACTATGAGGACTGTGCCACAGGGACCAGTCTTTCATCAGATACAAAATCAAGTACAATTCTGTTTTCATTTTGTAATATAATCCAAAATATACCAACATCTTGCAAAAGCTATTGTATCTGATCCCTTTAAATACCTGYTCTGTTGCATTTCACCTTTAACTTACATGTTTTCTTCCATCACAGAAAACTGTATCACTTGTGGGACTGGTTGTTATGTSTTCTTCCTCCTTGCAGCTGCTTTGGCTCTGAGTTTCACCATCATTTTGGACACTGGTGATGAGCTGCTGCAGACTGGGTGTACTTTTCATCTGTAAGAAATTCAGAAAGTTGGGGTTTTTTTGTTGTTTTTTTTTAGGGGGTGGGTGTTTGTTTTTTGTGGTGTTTTTTTTTTGTTGTTGTTTATTTGTTTGAGGTTTTTGGTGGGTTTCCTTGGTTTTGTTTTTTTGTTGTTGTTGTTGTTTTGGGGTTTTTTGTTTTGCTGTTGACATTTGTTTTGTTTTTAAATTTAAGAAAAATGTCCTGATTTCTTCAGAAATATTTTCAGAAAAAGAATCAGTAAATGGCTACAATTGACTCTGATTAAGGTCATGCAGGCGGCACACTTTCAAAGATAATGTAGTAACTTAATTTAAATGTTGATTTATAACTCTCTCAACCCACTTAGTAGTACATTCATTATATTAATAATTTTYTAAAATCAACATACCACCAGCTAACCTAAGCATCACAATCACAGCAATTACTAACAGCAGTCTACTAATAACACACCAAAAGTAGCAATATACTAATGAAAGTCCTTACTAGGCCTTAACAAAACAGTAATTTTGGAAGAAAATATAATTCGCCTSCAGGAAATTAAAAATTGTATTTTGCAATATGCATGACACATGCCCATGTTTACCTATGTAAGAAYGAATGTAAGTTGAAAGAGATTTGAAAATAGAAACAGATTTACAAGTTCTTATTTAGCTTTGTTTACAGAAAAAATTTAAATTTCCAAGATGTTCTTGACCTTGCTTTGACTAGGTCCATTCACCTTGTCAATTTTCCCATGAAAACCCTAAAAATTTGTGAAAGTTTATTCATATATATATATATATATTAATCAAAACTCAAGATTCACCTTCAGCCACCTCTCTCATCAAGAACAACAGTTCTTCGAATGAAGTGCTGAAATACAAATACATAGGGCTAGAAATATACTCAAAATACTGGTGCTTCTGGCACATCACTTCTCCAGGATAATACAATCTGTGAGAAGGATGTGGAYACCTTAATGGATAAGAAAAATGCAAGGTAAGAAATTTTACATGATTAGGATCTAAGAAAATAATTTCTTTTAAAAAGTTACGCAACAGAGGTGACCTGAAAGACCAAGAAGAATGTAGTGTGACTGAATCAATAAAAAGGATTAGGCTTTATTTGAATAAAAGAAACARGAAATGTGAGAGAATCCCTCCTGCACAATCAGCAGAAAGCACTAAAGAATGAAGACAAGAGATTAGATAATATATTGAGGTTACTTCTGAAAAAACAGGATATGCAAAATCCTAACCAGTCTGCTGTTATCACAACACACWGAAACTGTTTTGTCTATTAAAGCACCCTACCTTAAGAATAGWTGCAAGAATTAAGTTACCTTATGAGAGGGAAACAGACAGAAAATGCATCCAGACTATAGTCTCAAAGCAAACCCAAACTAGTATTTCCTAGCAGAGAAATTGTCTTCTCCTTTATAAAACCTGAAACACAACCAATTTCACATGTTAACCAAAACAACCTACTACACACTAAATTTTAGGTTCCACTTGGATCAGAAAGATTTCTCTATTGTGCAATACGGGACATAAGAGACTGACAAGGCAACATAGCTACCAGTGCTAAACCCAGCAGCAGGTTTCATAAGCCCAGCCCAGCTCYAATGTCTGCTTCTGTTGCTACAGGAGAGGTATCCCACAGCTACCAAYGCACCACAAACAGCTCCCAAACGTGGCACATGCCTGCTTGTTCCCCAGTGAGGCAAGTRTAACTGCAGCTCCCTTAATAAACTTAGGGATTCCAATCATGAGAGGSCCTCAAAAACACTTCCCAAAACCCAGATTTTACACTGGCTGGTACTTCTCGCCATTTGATTTGTTTATTTCACTAATACTGGGGTTAAATATAACCTCTTTAAGTTTTAATCTGAAGGAATCAGACTCTGCACACATCACTAATTTAGAAAATTTACTTAAGAAATAGATAGTGTTCTGAGACTGAAGCAGTGCCCCAGTTCTACACACTGCACAGTCAAACTTGTGGTTACAGTTACTACTTCACAGTCATTCCTAAGAGAAAAATATATGGTTTCTAGGGGGGAAACCCACTGCTTTGATTTATTCTCTGAAAATGAAAGCTCTTTCTGGGGTGGAAATCATAACAAGTAAGATTTCAACACGGTATTTTCTTATAAATAAAATTAGTTGTTTTCCAAGTATAATTTAAAACAGGTTTTGTCCCATAACTTAAGGCATAGTTCTAATAAAGGTGWAAACAGCTATCCTTCCTAAAGGAAAACAAAGATAAATGACATTTACAGGAAAAAATCAACAGTAAGTCTAGCAAAACTAAAATTCTAGCTTAAATGTAGTCCAACTGGTTCAAATGACTCAGAGAAATAGCACTCTGGCACACAAACATTGAAATCTATCTTTCAAAACCTGCAGTGCAAAGTATGGACATAAATTAAATTCTAAATCTTTAAATGGGCAATTAAAAACCCACACAAATAATCTGGATTCTCCTACTAATAAATTTCCAAAGCCAAAGAATAATCTTTTAAACATGGCAGATTATGATTAGCATGCAATGAAGCATAGTCTAAATTCACATTGTCTCCAACATATTGTGATATTTTTCAGTGCATTAGAACAGCAGTGCTCTCCCTGAGGAATAAAGTTAACATCAAAGTATGGCCTGCCACAATGAAAACAGCACTCAGGTAACTAATAATTTTTGCCARTTCTGTTGATGATTTGATTGTAAACAAAAATACCAGAACAAATTTCACAAAGTTCTCAGACCTTGCTGGGCCAACTCAAGTTGYCCAGTCCATGCAGTTTGTCATCCTGTCTCTTCCATTTATCAGCACCTAACACTTCTGAGGAAAGCGAAAAACGTGCAGAAGGGAGCTGTGAGTAATGTGTGCCATGAGGTCTGGCCCAAAGCAAGGGCTTTTCTCAGCATCTAATTCAGGCACTTAGCAAACCACATTGACCTCATTCAGACAAACAAGGCAATTCAGAAATTGCTACTRTGTGGAAAACTGAGTATGGACAAAACTCAACCACTTCAGAGCTGAAAGTGAACAAAATAAAATCTTTAGTGTAACTCAAAAGCAGAAATGTGAGGTCATCTTCAGCCCTGCACAATTTGTAGGAAAATCTGGATTTTTCTCAAACTTCTCAAGAAAACACTGAAAACTARAGACTGTAACCAAAGCAAAAGGAAAAGGGAAGTTCCATAGCAACTAACAGCAATGCTTACTCCCAGCCTAGTCAAAAAATGCTCAGAAAATGTCAGGATGGGTTTGGGATGTCATAGCTTGTCCTGCTCAGAAGCAAAAAGGGCAGGAAGAAGGCTAGACAGAGAGCACCAGCCTGCAGCCCAACAATCACACAGAGAAATTCAACCTCAAGAGAGTCTATGAACACCTGAGAGCAAAATGTCCCATCCCCTTCCCCCTTCCCTCCCTTTGTAAAAATCTCAGTCTAACATTGAGACTCTGGGCTGAAATAAATTGTGCAGACTCTGTCAAAAACYTTGTGAAGAATCAGAGTTCTGAGCACAGTCAGTGAACATCAGCTATGCCCTGTTCATAAAATAAAAGTAAAATTTCACTGTGCACATCATTGCTCTGACAAATATATTTCACTCCTTAAACACCTCTTACAGTTAGAGATTTTATATAATAATATGGATACCCTGCTTGTAATGTTGATTGCAGTGTCAGACTGGCTCCTTCTTTGGTTCCTTCTTTCCACATTCTTCCCATAATCTGTGGTTAGGACACATCTGTCAGCCATATCGTTCTGRGATTTTGATATTTCTGAAGTGAAAATAAAGAGAAAAGTCACCATAACAAACTTTGCAAGCAATCCTATAGATTTATAGGCTAATTCTGTAGCTTTCAAAATGTCATCCTGCACCTTTAGCATTGAACTCTTAAGACTAAAAAACAGATGGCAAGACAAGTGCTTGTCACATTGTATATAAYTACATYTTGCCTACCTAAATTTTTCATGCTGTTTCAACTGGAAATTATGCTCCTTGCTGCCTATCATTATAGCTGCTGCAAAGAATTGTATGCCATCAAATACAGTTTCCTTGCAGAAACAGCTACTACAGTCCCTATGTATAGCTTGATTTGTAAGGCACTTTGGTTTGGTTCAGGATAAAAGCAAGATCATTATAATAACAAAGCGATATTATAATGAAATTAAGAAAGAAGAACATATCAGAAAATGTTTAGAAATGTATCCAAAATATGGATTAAAGGAGGGATTTTACATACTCGGTCCCAAACCACACATAATTTCAGGAATGTGAATAGGCCTCATGGACTTCAAAACCATTACTCATATGGATAAGCTTATGTCCRTACTTGAGCACCTTGTTGAATTAGCACTGCAGTAACACATAGTTTATTGGCAAATAAATCTACAGGACAATTGGACATTTAATGCACCACTTTTCACTTCTTATTCCTCAGTGTACATTCAGAATTTCACTTAAAGGGAAGGGCAGCACTCATCCATGACTTCTGAGGTTGAATATGAGCAGGCTTAGCTGCAGATACTTTGTTGTCAATCCCAGACTCTCATGAAGAATTAAAAATTTATAAGCAGTACATGAAATAGCTATCATATGTTTAATTTATAGAGAAGAAATAARCACTTCTCTCATAACATGAATGTCTGTAGAGGAACCTCAGAGAGCAGACAATATGACATTATGGTATTCAAAAACAACAGCACTCAAGTGTGATTTTTAAAGACACTGGGTTAGTTTTGTTCTTAGCAGCAATCAKTCCTCAGATGTTTACTGTACTCTGTGTACACCATTAAGGCACCATGTGACCYATTCAAAGGCTGGCTCAATTAAGCCATCTCTGTAAATTAAACCAGGTTTTTAACATACACAGTGAAATAAGAGATCATAAAGGAGACTGGAGTTGAGAGTTCTAATGAAATAGATACAATCTGAGYAGCTTGACCAGCAGTAGAGACAGAAGACACCAGCTTGCCTCACACTCTCTTAAACTAAACAGGTTACAGAACAGTGACTGTGAGAAAACACAAACTTTCAGCTTTCATATCTATTCCTCTTCTGGCTTCCCAACSCAAATATCCATAAGACTGACACTCTCTAGTGCCAAGGGCAATTATTCACTGCAAATAAAACTACAACCAGTAATTCCTTTTATATTGACYAAATGGTAACCATTGGATTATAATCTCCTCTTGCTGCCAAACCACACTGGAACAGGAGGTAACAGCATAAAGGAGCAGACTGTACAATGGCAGCTTTGTGCTGCACATGCTGATCCCTTGTTCCCATTGCTCTCAGACACACACACTGCCTCCAGTGAGAGARTCAAAGGCAGAACGAGGTTCTCCAGGTTTATTTACTGCAATACACAAGAGCTGGGWGTATTAAATACCTCTGCAAAGCAGGACATTCTTATCTAGATAAGATACAGAGTACTAACTTTAGACACTCGTGACCAAAAGTGTTTCTCAGCACCGTACCAGGTTTCACTGAGAGGCCATATTGTCTGAAAAAGCTGGTTTCTCAAGTCGAGAAACCCAACTCTTTCTCTCTGTAAGACTTCCTATTATTTTTAATTATTGACCTCAAGGATTGCAACAGCCTGTTATTTCCTCCCAAATTAAACTGCTCTACAATAACCGAGGGTGAGAGCACCTGAGTGGGGTTTCACACACAGCTGAACTGAACTAACAACTTGCTGCCATCTCCCTCTGCAACCATTGCTCTGCTCCATCCCTGGCTTCTGACCACRTGGACCAGCACTCTCTGTTGTACACATTCCAACATATATCTTACCCTGAGCCCATTTAACTCACTATAACAGCAGAAAAGTACCTATGTGTTTGGTCTACGTTAATGTGCTGCCCTTTAAAATAGCTAAATAAGTATCCAGAGGGTTCCAGAAGCTAATTATGGCAGCATAAGGGTAGAAACAGAAAGAAAAGAAAGGTGTGAGTGGAGTAGGACTTTCCTTTTGATAGCAGTGAATTAAAAAAATTAGTTTGCTGCAGTCCTGAAAGTCTTTACCAGTAACTCTGGGATATGGCCAGGCTTCAAACTACCAGAATGCTGAATAAATTACTTTGCATCCAGTTCTGTGCTACCACTATTACTGTTTCCAGTAGTAATGTCCTACAACCCCCTATCCTTCTGCTCAGGAGCAAGTCACCATCTCTCTGCATAGCTTTAATATGTGCTCACACAGACACAGCATTAAATTTGCATAGTTAAAGCAGAATAGGTCTTTAGAATGGGTGTAAGAAGCTAAAGGAAAGACCAAACAAGAGCTAAAACAAGAGTTAGGGGGAAAAGCAGAAAGGCACTAAAGACAGATTTACTCAGGTCTAATCTTGCATGTGAAGTTGTGTAAATTGAAGGTAGTAATAAAATACTGAGGTTTATTCAAATTCATGCAAATGTGCAAGCCTCTGTAGTGTTCCTAGGGCTCAGAAGTTGTTTTCTTCTGGACACTGACGCCTTTAATTTGTTTTTCACAAATGGCTGTCCTCAGTGTACTTAGCCTTAGAGGTGTGCACACAGTCTGCACCCCCAGGAACAGCAAGCAGCATAAGAGAATGGAAGGAACCAAAAGCACCAGAATGGAAGAAGAGGTGTAAGGACTGGAGAGCACTTAAAAGTATGCACCGAAAAAACCCACACAACTGGACAGACTGAGAAAGAAGAGGGAAGTCCTCAAGAYTACTGCAAGTGAATGAAAATATTTAGCACCTGTTAAATTATAGCCCCTTTGACAGGGTCAGCTGGGGTTCAGACAAATTTCAGAAATTGGTTATTACTCTGGGCTAACATGAATTAAATACACTGCATCTGAACATCTGGTGAAAAAAAAAAAAAAAAAAAAAAAAAAAAAAACAAAAAAAAACCAAAACACATTATACAGTCTTTTTATATCTTTACAAGAATGGTGTTCTGGGTTGAAATAATCAGTTTATTTATCAACTGAGTGAGAATTAGACTTACTCTATCATTTTTCAGGTTGCCAAAGCCTTGGTATTAATAATTTCAGCCATTACTCAATATCCTTTTTTATTACAAATACTTGGCCAACTGTGGCCAAAATTTGAAACATTTGACTATATTATTCTAGAATGACAAAACAGTCAAAGCCACTTACTTTTTATATGTGTTGTGAGACACAAAAACAGGTTTTCCACAGACTTATTAAACCTTTTAGACTCTCCAAGTTCCTGTAAATGGGAGATGGAAAGAGTAAAAATACCACAAAATGTTTGTACTTCTAAAGTTTCCATGATTATAAGTCTATAGACTGCACAACAATCAGATGGTAAGGCTGCAGCCCTTGGCTCACTTCTGTAGACAAATACATCTGAGGACATATACTGAACATGGCTGGAAACTGTCACACTAATGGATGAAGRTGAAAAGTAATCCTTTCAGTTTCATGGTCTTTAACATACAAGTGAAACTCCTTGTAGAAAGATTACCTACAACRTCACTGATTTGCTGTAAGGTATTTAATACTTCTACCTGTAACAGATGCTCCTGTGTCTCTGAATCAAAGAGTTTTCATCAAATTCCATGTRAGCAYCTAAGAATGTTTACAGAATTGAAAYGGTCTTCAAAACCAGGGCCTGAGGATCCAGTCCAAAATTAAATGAAACAGTAATTTRGTGCAATTTCTATGAGTTTCAAGCCACATTCTACTAGTCTGTCCACTAGAAACTGGAATGCAAARACAGCCATCATATTCACTGGTTTTCATTCACTAATGAAAGTGACACATGACTATTGAATGTCATAGGAACAAGGGATCCTTCARGTTCGAGGGGAGATCAGATCTCAGTCCAGTCTTCCTGTGATAAGGTACCAAAAMCCAGATACAATATTCTAATGTCAGAGTGGTTAACCACTTCCCTCAAAAACTGAAAACTAATTSAAAACAGCCCTCATAGCCTCTAAACTTTCTTTCTTGGTACCAATGCAGCACAAAGATAATGACAAAGWAACAAAAGGCTTCATTTATCTTGTAGAGTGATGTTACAGCAGTTATTCACCACATTTCTGTGCGGTAACCTTTTCCTATGAATGACACCCTAAGTGGTGCACATATATGTATATTTTGCAGAAACATACATTTACCATCACATTGGTTCCCGCTGCTGATTCTGTGAAAGGAGGAGGCGTTGGAGGTACAACAGAAATTTTACTAGAAATTTAAGAGATAAAAAGTGCAACAATTAACATACCATGCCAACAGATGGATAAATAAAATATATCCATGCACATTGTCTTTACTATCTGTGTTTCCTGCACTCTAGAAAGATCTGTGTTGACATCCTGTGTCCATAAGAGTTGCAGCACAGGTTTATTRACTGCTTTCAAGAATTAGGACTACCTTTCTATCTTCTCAATCTTGGGGTGCTCCAGGTAAAATTATTAAATTAGAACTATCGGGAAGACCTAATTTAGGACAGGCTCCTCAGAATTCTATRTGACTGGCAGTATTACAGTTTGTGTTCAGAGTTCTAAAACACAATTCCTGTACAACACACCCCATGTCTTCTTCAGAGATGTTTTCAGAAAACAGTCATCTTTATTTACAGTACTAAAAGGATCCTTCCTTGCCTGATTGCAGAGCTGTTAAAGACCCTTTAAACATTCCTGCCATTCCATCTATGGTAAATAGTCCTAATCCGTGAAAAAAAAAAAAAGAAATCTGACTGATTCTGTTATCACAGCACAATCACAGATCTCACAGATCCTAAGGTAGCTGGTAAACTTCCTCTTTGATTTTCTTTTAGTTTTACCACATCTAGATAAAAATCAGTCCTGGTTAGGGTCTTATCCAGCTGACTAAGTTTCTTTCTTATGCAGCTACGCCTTGCTAGATAATTATATTAAGTTGAGACCTTCTCTTTGTATCTTATTTTATATGAGACTTTTGGGGGAGTTTTTGGTTGTTTTGGGTTTTGGTAGTTGTTTTTGTTGTTGCTGTTGTTGTKGTRGTTTTTTGGTTTWGTTTATTTTAAGGCAGAGGAATACTTTAATAACATACAGTCTAAGCAGACTGTTACTTCATTATATAYCACTGATAATCACTTAACTATGGACATTCTTTGGCCTCTACTGAAAGTATTTATTCACTGTAAACTAGTTTGGTTCTTTTTTTTTAAGTCTGGTAAGTGAAAATGTCTAACTATATAAGTGAAAAKGTCTGCTATTTATTGTAACACTAGTCATATCTGCAATATCTCCCATTAAGCAAATAATGATGCTGTTATGAACTCTAGTAAATAATTTTTGTTTACAAATAATTTAAAAGTACATGCATATTTGACAGATAATTGTATAAATAGTGATAAAAAAATATAAGCAGTTAAAAACAATGCACATCTTTCATTTCAAGTAAGATAGTATTACTCTAAACATAGTACTCTCTGTTGTACATGAGACCTGTTCTGGAGATTGCTGACAGCTAAAAGTAAAAATTTTTCTATGCTTTTCTCATTTGAACTCCAAAAGTATTGATTTTTTTTCCATAATAAAGGAATACAAACCAGTGGCTTGTTTACAACATAAAATATATCACCCGTACTAATTCTCAGTGTCCTAGGACTGTTTGTCCTTTCATGAGTCTTACCTCAAATTCTCATAAGATTCCAAGAGCTTTGCACCAACTGTTTCATGTCTGCCTATGAAGGAGGAAAGAAAAAAAAWTCCAAAGATCATTTAGAAGCAACAGAAGTTACTTAYACCTGTATAATWCTTKTTAAAATCAGTGCCTTTCAGRAACTGGMCTGTACTTACAGCAGCTCATACACRTGTAAGTCAGGAGTGAAATCAYTTCYGAGCTAATGTATCAGCTAAGTAACACACAAGTCTCTCATRTATCTCAAACTGTACCACCCCTGTTGCAGGTGACACACTCATACAAATTCTTCACAAATGCTGAGGATAATCACACACAGATGCCAACAGGCCCATTCCTACAGGCTGCTGAGTGCTCTCAGCCTCACAAGATACAGGAGGCAGGTGGTGCACAGGCCCACWGCACTAAAGCACACTTTAGCCACAAAATTCAAACACTAAGGGAAGCTTGAAAATGTGTACGAGAGCAGGCACATAGTCAACTCCTGCATCTCRTGAAAAATTCTTTTCACTTTTTCTGCTAGAGATCTGAGCAACGATGAAAATGCTTGACTGAYCCAGAAACATGAGCAAAACCCACTGCTAAGAGCATCCCTGCAGGGAAATAACAACCATGGCTCAGGTGAGCAGCCACAGGATGTAAMGACACCAAGGAACGAGAGCTCCACCAGGCACAAACAATGAAGACTCATAAAACTGTATATTGTTCCAGGGGGACCACAAATAGCATGTAACAAACGGCCAGCTGAAATTATCTGGAGTGACTTTAATYACTAGTAATTCCTGATACAGTGAAAGCAGCATGTGATTCGTGTTTTGCTGAAGATGTCATTAATTATAATGTAACTTACATAAAAGTAATAGATCGTGTTAGTGATTGTAACACTGGTGAGCTGATTATTGTTTCTATTTTCAAATAGAACTCCAGAATTCTCTCTTTTTGATATATAATATTTGCTATCTTATATTTTAAATCAATTAGTCACTGAAGACAATCTACCACTTTTACAAAAATATTATTCTCATTCTTTAGGTAGAAGTGCTTCTA